ATAACTTTTGACCAACAGGTGGCGCTGTCTCAAAATCTTTTGAGTACCTTCAGGGCATGCTGCTTATGGCACACACTGAGTTTCGTAATGTTATACCAAAGGATTTATTTAGTATAGCATTGTATTTCACAAAACTGTATTGAAGTCAATGGGAATTTCACGTTTTGTTCTATTATAGCGCCACCAAGAGGCTCAGTCCCACAATTTTTTGTGTGTGTCCTCAGAGTGAACCCATACATATGCGTGTCGATTTTGGTGAAAATATCTCAATTCGCTTCCGAGTTATAAACATTTATATGAAAAAACACGTAAAAAATGACTGACACATGACTTTGTTTGAATTTTACTACCCCTTACTATCAATATTTTCGCATTTGGGCATTAGCGTACTGTTAACAAGCTATGATTCCGTGTTTCTGACGGTGGTTTCGTCTCGATCGGAGCAGCGGTTTCAAAGATATCGCCACGTGTTTTTTTCGCGCTAAATCGCTATGCTACGCCATCCGTGAGACGAAACCCGACATATTTGGTATCGTTGGACTCGGCAACAATTCAGGACCTCAGAAAGATGACTCCCATGAAAATAAGTGTACCACACCCAAAGTTATAAGCGTTTGAAGAAAAAAATTCACCACTAGGTGGCGCTGTTTCGAAACTTCTCAGGCTCCTTCAGGGCATCGTACTGATGACCCATACCGAGTTTCGTAACAATTCGTTCATGCGTTCAAAAAATACAGCATTTTAGCACATAATTCAAAATGGCCGACAGCCAAAATGGCCGATCTGGGAAAATTGGATATCGGTCGACTCGGCATGACGCCCTGAATCTAACGAGACCAAGTTTTTGATTTTTGGAGAAACCGTTCAGAAGTTATGAGCAAAAATAGCCATTTTTCATATCTCCGGACCACTAGGTGGTGCTGCGCCGAAACGCAGCATGTAGCCTCAGGTCATGCTTGTGATGACACGTACCAAGTTTGGTCTGAAAACGAGTAAGCGTTGCGGAGATACAGCCTCACGTCTGTTTTCGCAAGCGCTACGTAAAATTTGTTTACGCGTTTATCGAAAACGGTTATTCGAATCATCTTGAATTCCATAACTTTTTGTCAGCACTGCCTGGAGATGATCCGGTGCGATTTTGGTGAAAATCGGACAAACCGTCTAGGACGAGTTCGCAAAAGTAGGTTTTTTGGAAAATTCAAAATGGCGGCCGTTTTTTTATGACGGAAAATGACGTCATATGGTGCGATCGAATCGGCATGAGCTCAGGAACAAGAGGAAAAAAGAATTTTGTTGATAGGCCTTACGGTTCAAAAGTTATTAGCATAATAAAAGTGAAACTTTGGACAGTTGGTGGCGCTAAAGGGAATGAGTTAGAGACACCAAAATTGGTGTATTTAAAGTTGGGACTGTCCTCTATCAGAATGTCAAACCAAAACAACTTTCCCGCAAACCGGTCTATGGGCTGCCATAGACGCCCAGTCGGAAGAAGAATAATAATAATAATAATAATAATAAGAACCGGAACAGATACAATAGGTGCCTCCGCACCTTCGGTGCTTGGCCCCTAATAATAATAATAAGAACCGGCACAGATACAATAGGTGCCTCCGCACCTTCGGTGCTTGGCCCCTAATAATAAGAACCAGCACGGATACAATAGGTGCCTCCGCACCTTCGGTGCTTGGCCCCTAAATATATGGGTATGGTTTTCTAGCTAAATTCAGCATATTGACACAAAATGATAACTGCAACTCCACCTTTCACTGACTGGAGTCCAGTTGTTTCTGTGAATTGCAGCGATCCATTTGCTTCTCTTTCCATAGCAGTCTGTAAAAATATACCTCAGATGTTTTGTCAAATCTAGTTGTAGGCCTACAGTCAATCGCAAAGCTCTTTCCCACTTTATTTGTGTGTGTTGTGTTTGTTTTTCGCGGCATTCACGCTGAACACATACAGCCGCTCAGTCTTTTTGCCACTCACTGTGAGTAACTGCAGGCACTCCGGCCGACGGTGACGTCACGCGCATTCCCTCTATTTCCGAACGCATGATCCCATGCAAATCATGCCACCCGCATTCTGTGAAGACTCGTCCTATTCTACCCTTGATTGGGTAATACTCGCTGCCATTGTTTGTCCCGACGCTTGTCCCGAGAAAAATGGCGTTCTTCAGGTCCAGTTTTGTGTCCAGCCTCTCACGGGGATTTCGGATGCCCCAACGCCTGTGATGAGACGACTCAACGCCTGTGATGAGACGACTCAACGCCTGCGATATGTTATGGCGCCGTTTGATTCATAAACAATATTTATATTTAATATTTATATTTAAACAATATGAATGTAAGCCAGAGGAGAACTGGCCCCCGACTGAGCCTGGGTTCTCCCAAGGTTTTTTCTCCATCCAATCTGATGGAGTTTGGTTCCTTGCCACTGTCGCCTTGCTTTTGGCTTGCTTTGAGCTTGCTCAGTTGGGGTTATTTATTTAGTGTTTAGCAATGTTGTTGATCTGTGTTGTGCTACTTACATGTTATCACTGTGAAGCTGCTTTGATACAATCTGTATTGTGAAAAGCGCTATATAAATAAATGTGACTTGACTTGACTTGACTTGATTGTTGGTTTGATTGGTTTGTTTAATATACCATCAGGTTCAGGGCCAATCAGAGTCAGAAGAGGGCGGGTCTTGCGGTCCGGGTATCGTTCGTTCATTTGTTTTTGCTTTCATATATGAAAACGAAAAAACGAGAAAACAACTTCTTTTTTTGTTTTTCTGAAAAACGAAATTATGACTTGATATTTGGTTTTCCGTTCTTGCACAGAAATCAGAAAAACCACTTGATATTCGAATTTTTCCCTGTGGGTGGGGCTACATCTGTACGTTTTAATAGTTTGTTTTCCAGTTTGAAACGAAATAAGCAGAAACGAGAAAACGGCTCGTTTATTCGTTTTTTCAAAAAAAAAAAAACGAGATTTCGGCTTGATTTTTGGTTTTTTAGTTCAAAGACAAAAAAACGAATAAATGACTTCAAAATTCGTTTTCCACACGTGGGCGGTCCTGAAACGCCCCCTTCCGCCGATTGGTCAAGCAAATCTGAGCATGTGACGTCATCAGCCGTCCCTCCGGTCTGTTCAACAAAATAATAGTCCTAAAAAATTAAATAAAAAATAGTCCTCTAGATGGTTACCGATTCTTAAACTGTACAGGGCAGGTCATATTGGGCTTTCTTCTGTGCAACTTAACACGTTTCACAGAAATCTTTACTTCAGACATGAATGTCTGCCAACAGCCCGTTCTGTTTGGTGAAGCGCTTGACAGCGGCGAAGCAGTCAGAACTTTTTTTAGACAGTGAACTCCGTTTAGACACGGGATTGTGATAGCAAATATTGTAATGCCAATCGCCTGAGGGTGGGCACCGACGATGGTGAAATACATTTCTACTGAAACTACTGTAATCATAGTCGCGACCCGCGATGATTGACAGGACGATAGAGGAGACAATTAAAAGCGCAATATAACTTCAGTTAACAAAAACACAATTTAAAAAAGTGTTTAACATAAGTTACTTTGTCTTATTGTTTTTAATCAAATAATTGGGAACCACAAACGGAGCCTTCGTTTAGAGCGATTTCCAAATATATTTTATTTGTTATAATATTGGGTAACGTTATATGTCACCAGATCTAGGCTAATTAGTTTGATTATAGAATATGCAACTTTTTTTATATTATTGTACTATTTTATTGTTGTTTTGTAATTAACAATATATCATCATAACTTATAAAGATCAAAATCTACAGAAGAGCTTAATGAGACTGCGTGTTGTGAGACTAATCAATGCGGAAATTTCCCTGCTGACACAATTCTGAATGTTGGCTATGTTACAGATTTAATGTTGAGCAAATAATGTTAAAGGCTTCTTAAATACCATCGGTTGACGAGTCAAGAAGGATGTGTTAATTTGCAGTGATTTCAATCTGTCCTTAGTTGGTGACCCAGTGTAATAATACAACATAAATAAAAACAAACACACATGTATGCGGCGAAACACATCTGCTTTTCCTCTAGATCACTTTACTGTGTGATGAAAATAAACTTTTCTTAAAGCGTGTTGTAGCTACATGACCACATTGCACGCTTCGTTGTACCGTAATAGACAATTGTCCTGCAAAATGAAGAGGTTTTTTTGAGAAAAATTGAGAGCAAATGTCAAATTGTTTTATTTATTTTATTTAAACCAACAAGATGAGGCGTTTAGGCATCTGATGAAATGTATGAACAAACACCCAGCTTTGCAATATAGGTAGGTGGCGTTTAGATGTACAGTCAGGACGATAGACTGGTCAGGACACACAGTCTAATACGAAAAAAAAAAAAAAAAAAAAAAGTCTAATACGAAAAAAAAACATAAAAAAAAACCCCGGTAGTTGTGGTGGCAAGTCATACAATATATTTGTATTTGAATACCATATGAATAAAAATATATAAATAATAATAATAATGAATATATATTATAGCGGCTATAGGCCAGGCAAAATTATATTTGCAGCCGCGAGAGACTAAACACTGGGAGAATGAATGCACTGCGACGCACAGAAACCGTTTCATACAGCGATCCACTCATTTATTGTTTCTTGCACATAAAATACAACTGGTAGCCAGTTACCAATTCATAAGTGCAGGGTGAGTGCATTAAGTGCGGTCAACAGAAAGCGTTCGCTCCCAGGCTCACTCCCTCTCTATCCAAGCCCCCCTGCCTCAGGTGCCCAGGTGTAGCAAACAAATACGTGCAAGAACCACATCACTTCCGCCCAAGCCCCGGTAGACACGCCCACCACCAACAATCTGAGTGCAGTAAAAATAATGAATGAGACCATAAAACCATAGGAGACTTACAGTTGGCTCTTACATTCCGGCCCCTAATTATTTTAACACAATAATTATACAACTGCACATTATGTAAGAGATCAACGATATGAATTTTTTTTTTTTATATATATATATTTTTTAACATAAAACAGTCCCTTCGAAAGTGTCTTTTCTTCTTTAGATCAAACAAGAAACAGAGTCCTTTGTCTTTGTAAAAAGTGATCTTCACAATCACTTAATCGTGTAATGAAAAAAGGTCTATATAATAATGTCAAGATTAAAGTCAAAGTCTAAGAAGTTCGAAGGTCAGCTGGATATCCTCATGGCTCCTCTGCTTCCTGTAGAAGGCAAATCTTGGTGATAGGCCTATCCAAATAACTGGTCTTCGTCCTAATTCGCACTTGACGAACAAGTCCTCTTCTGTCAGGGAGATTTTGCACAATCCTTCCTGTAAGCCATGAGTTGCGAGGTGCTGAGTCGTCAACTATGAGTACAATATCTCCATTTTGGAAGTTGCGCTTGACACCAGACCACTTCTGACGCTCCTGAAGAAGAGGCAAGTATTCCTTAATCCAACGTTTCCAGAACAAGTCAGATATATACTGAACTTGTTTCCATCTGCGACGAGCGTAGATGTCCTCCTTTTTGAACTGACCCGGTGGTAAAGATGGCATGATCTTGAGCAGCAACAGATGGTTAGGGGTTAATGGTTCCAAATCATTGGGATCAGTGGATGCCTTGGTAATAGGACGGCTGTTGATAATAGCTTCTGCTTCACACAGAACTGTGTGAAGACTCTCCTCATCAAGGGTCTGCAACTTCAGGGTGGAATTCAGGACCTTCCTCACAGATCTTATCAACCTTTCCCAAACCCCGCCATGATGTGACCCTGTGGGGGGGTTGAAAACCCAATTAATTCCCTTTTGAAGGAGGGTGTTATTAATTAGAGTATGATTCCAACTTTCCATTGCCTCTCTCAATTCTCTCTCGGCACCAACAAAGTTGGTTCCATTGTCTGAACGCAGTTCCAATACTTGTCCACGTCTTGCTGTAAAGCGTCGAAGAGCATTGATAAAAGAATCTGTGTCCAAGGATGATGCAACTTCTATGTGGATCGCTCTTATGGAAAGGCATGTGAAGAGAACCCCATACCACTTCAATATACTCCTTCCTCGCTTAACTTCAAAAGGTCCGAAGTAATCAACTCCGACCCGAGTGAATGGAGGTTCATCTGATGAAACTCTGTCCTGAGGTAAATCTGCCATCTGTTGTTGGCCTGGAGCTGCATGCAGTCGTCGACAGACAATACATTTAGACAGGATTTTTCTTATAGCCACACTAGCCCCAGGGATCCAATACCTTTGGCGCAGACAAGCCAGCATATGGTTACGACCACTGTGTCCCACCTCTTGATGTATGTGCTGAAGAATTATGTTGGAAATGTGTAAATCCTTTGCCAATATGGCAGGATGCTTAGCTTCTTCCGGCATAGCTGCTCTGCTAAGTCGTCCTCCAACTCTCAAAACACCGTCTTCAAGTATTGGGTTGAGTTTGTAAATGTGACTAGTCCTTTTCACACTTTCGCCCTTTCGCAGACTGTTGAATTCCCCAGGAAACCTACTTCTCTGGCAAAACTTAATAATCTCCATCTCAGCCTTTCTAAGTTCCTCAATTGAAAGAAGACCACTGACGGTCTGAGCCTTGATACTCTGCATCTCCTTTTCTATTTCTTTTCCCTGTTGGTCCTTATCCAAGCCAGAATGAGCAAGAGTCATACTCAGTTGCTTCCTTTTCTGACTAAAGTACAGTAGTAGACTCTTCAGCTTAAGGATCCAACCAACCATCTTCTTCAGAAGGATCCAAGAGGAGAAGTAGTTAATCAAGCGAGTGACTGCATCGATCTTCTCTTCAGCCTGCACAGCATTCACAATCAAGACCCTCTTAACCTCAGGGTCATCTGGTGGAATTCTCACATGGCCATCCGGGTTTTCAGGCGAGCTCTCTTCAGGCCCAACCAGAAACTGAGGTCCAGACACCCATATGTTATCTCTAAGAAGTGATGTCACCTTTACTCCCCTAGAGGCTAAATCAGCAGGATTATCTGTGGTGTTAACATATCTCCATTGAGATGGATTAGATACACTCAGTATCTTTGAAACCCGATTGGCTACAAAGCTACGAAACCTTGAGGTCTCATTGCTGATGTACTTCAGTACGGAAGTACTGTCTGTCCAAAAATTGAGTCTTGAAGTTCCATCTGTAGCTCCTTCCTCCAGAGCTCATCCATTCGACCTGCAACCATGGCAGCCGTCAACTCCATACGAGGGATGGTAATTGTTTTTAATGGAGCCACTCTGGCCTTTCCCATTATGAAAGTACAGTGAACTTTTCTCTCTATGTTGTTTAATAATAAGTAAGTCACTGTTCCATAGCCGCTCTCACATGCATCCGCAAAGTGATGTAACTGAGCAGAAATCACTTCCCCAAAATCGTCTCGGTTACGTATGTAACCCTCGTTCCCTGAGTAGGGAACGGAGACGTTACGTCAGAAGTGACGGAGATTGGGGGTTTCGCATAGAAAGCCAATCCTCTTCGAGTATTTAAACACGAGCCAATGGCATGCAATGCCTTGGGGCTGCGGAAATTTGCATAGCGTACTCCGCCCTACTCCGTGAGTATAAAAGGAGGAAGTGAACGCAACCGCAGTATGTCTTCGCTGAGGAGCCAAGACTGAACTCGGCGTCTACCCAGCGATACAGCAGAAGTGGCAGGGAGACGTAACGTCTCCGTTCCCTACTCAGGGAACGAGGGTTACATACGTAACCGAGACGTTCCCTTTCGTAGTCACTTCGAGTTACGTCAGAAGTGACGGAGATTGGGGGTCTGTGCCATCACGCCATCTTCAAGCTGTCTTCCAGTGCCCTGCGAAAGTCTGGACCCCCGAGCCTTACCTCTTTTTTTTTTTTTTTTTTTTGGGAATCCGACTTTGACACAGGATTACCAAGGTACACTGGGAAACATATCCCGGAAGGGACATGCTACCAGCTGCCTACCGAAGGGAGGACTTACGAATACACATATGGCCACATAGGAACACATATGGAACACTGGAGTACCAACCGCAGGTGGCTACTAATTTCAACTCCAGGGGTGGCAGATGGCTTGCCAAGGGAAGACACATGCTCAGAGAGGCTTACAGTGGATAATACACATGAGACGGTTACCAAGGGGAACCGTGCGCATGGAGGCACCTAGCCAGCATCCAGAGCAACAGCAGTGGTGCCCGCATCGTCGGTGCTGGAGGACTCAAGACTTCAATGGAAGAACTGAGGAAATATCGCACTTATCCAGTCCGGGGAGTGGAGTGGCGAGCAAGCGAAGACACCTGAGCGGATCCAGAACTGGCCGAAACGAGTACGTGAGAGGATACCGGCTCAATTCGCAGATTATAGAATCTGGCGAAGGTGTTGGGTGTCGCCCAGCCTGCAGCTCTGCAGATGTCTGTTAGCGAGGCGCCGTGCGCTAAAGCCCAAGAGGAGGCTACACTCCGAGTGGAATGGGCCGTCACACCAAGGGGGCACGGAAGGCCTTGCTGCTGGTAAGACAAAGCAATGGCATCCACTATCCAGTGGGACAGCCGTTGCTTTGAGAGAGCCCTTCCCTTCTGGCTCCCCCCATGACAGACAAAGAGCTGGTCTGAGGTCCTGAAACACTGCGTTCTGTCGACATAGGTGCAGAGCGCACGTACCGGACAGAGCAGTGCCAAGGCTGGGTCTGCCTCCTCCAGGGGCAGCGCTTGCAGGTTCACCACCAGGTCCCGGAGGGGAGTGGTAGGAACCTTGGGCATATATCCAGGCCGGGGTCTCAGGAATACGTGAGAGTAAGCTGGCCCGAACTCCAGGCACACTTCGTCAACAGAGAGTGCGTGCAGGTCCCTTACTCTCCTGATGGAGACCAATGCAATCAGGAGTGCTGTCACATAGGACAGGGCAAAACTCTACCGACTGCAAAGGCTCCAGGGGAGGCCTCTGCAGAGCACCCAGGTCTACTGAGAGGTCCCCAGAGGGCAGGAGGGGAGGGAGGCGGATTTAGCCCCCTCACTCCCCTCAGGAACCTGATGACCAGGTCATGCTTCCCATAGACTTACCTTTCACTGCATCATGAGACGCGGCAATGGCCGCGACATAAATCCAAAGGGTGGAGGGCGACAGCCTACGCTCCAACCCCTCTTGCAGGAAGGAAGCACGACTCCGATCGAACATCTCCGGGGGTCTTCTCAGCGAGAAGAACACCAATTGACGAAGAGGTTCCACTTCAACGCATTAAGGTGTCTCGTGGACGACGCTCTTGCGGAAGTGATGGTTGCCGCCACCGCAGGTGGCAGCGAACTCAAACCTGCCTCGTCCCGTCCTGGAGCCACACGTGCAGCCTCCAAGATCGGGACGAGGGTGCCACAGAGTGCCCCGTCTCTGAGAGAGTAGGTCCGGTCTCAGAGGAATAGGCCAAGGAGGTGCTGTCGCGAGGAGCATGAGTTCGGAGAACCACGTCTTGGTGGGCCAGTAGGGGGCTACCAGCAAGACCTGCTCCTCGTCCTCCTTGATCTTGCACAACACCCGTGCAAGGAGGCTCACTGGGGGAACGCACACTTGCGTGGGCCCCGTGGCCAGCTGTGCGCCAGCGCATCCGAGCCGAGAGAGCCGCGGGTCAGAGAATAAACTGGGCGCAGTGGGACGAGTCCCGAGAGGCGAACAGGTCTATCTGTGCCTCCCCGAACTGGTCCCAAATCAGCTGGACCGACTGGGGATGGAGTCGCCATTCGCCGGTGATGGGACGGGCCCGGGACAGCTCGTCGGCTGCCCGGTTCCGGTCTCCAGGAATGTAACTGCACGAAGGGACCTCAGGTGCTTCTGACTCCATATCAAGAGGTGGCGGGCGAGCTGCGACAACCGGCGCGAGCGTAGACCCCCCCTGGTGGTTGATGTACGCTACTGCCGTAGTGTTGTCTGAGCGGACAAGCACATGCTGGCCCTAGAGCACGCTCGGAAGCGGTGCCGGGCGAGCCGTACTGCCAACAGCTCGAGGCAATTGATGTGCATGAGGCGCTGGGCTCCTATCCAGGAACCGGCGGCTGCATGCCCATTGCACATGGCACCCCAACCCGTGGTAGACGCATCCGTGGAGACAACGAGATGCCTGGAAACTCGCTGAATAGGGACCCTGTCCGTAAAAAGCTGAGGTTCGACCACGGGAAGAAGGTTCGGCGGCACGTCGGAGTCACTGGAACTCGGAGCGAGCCGCGATGCCATGCCCACCTCGGGACTCGATCGCGAAGCCACAGCTGAAGCGGTCTCATATGAAGCAAACCGAGCGGCGTACCGCGGATGCCATATGCCCCAGGAGCCTCTGAAATAGTTTCAGTGGAACCGCACTCTTGCCCTCGAACTGTCGAAGACAAGCCAGCAGTGAGTGCGCGCGCTCGTTCGTGAGCTGCGCGGACATGGCGACCGAGTCTATCTCCATGCCGAGAAAAGAGATCCTCTGCACGGGGCAAAGTTTGCTCTTTTCCCGGTTGACCCGAAGGCCCAGACGGGCTAGGTGCCGTAGCACCAGGTCTCTGTGTTCGCAAACCTGAGCTCGAAAAGTGTGCTAGTATCAGCCAGTCGTCGAGATAGTTCAGGATGCGAACCCCGTGTTCGCGAAGGGGAACAAGGGCTGCCTCGACGATCTTCGTGAAGACGCGAGGGGACAGAACTAACCCGAATGGGAGAACGGCGTACTGGTATGCCTGGCCCTCGAAGGCAAACCGAAGAAACGGTCTGTGTCGAGGGAGAATGGAGACATGGAAGTACGCGTCCTTCAGGTCGATCGCTGCAAACCAATCCTGATACCGAACACATTCGAAAATGCGTTTGGCCGTGAGCATTTTGAACGGTAGTCGATGGAGAGAACGGTTCAAAATGCGCAGGTCCAGGATCGGTCGTAACCCACCGGTCTTCTTGGGGACAATGAAGTAGGGGCTGTAAAACCCGGACCTCACCTCGGCTGGAGGGACCGTCTCGATTGCACCCTTCGCCAGCAGGGTCGCAATCTCCGCTCTCAGGACTGGGGCATTGCCACCGACTATCGTGGAGCGAACTCCCCTGAAGCGGGGAGGAGACCGTGCGAACTGAATCGCGTAGCCGAATCTGATCGTTCTGATGACCCAGCGGGATACCCCGGGAAGCACTAGCCAGGCTTCCAGGAAGTGAGCCAACGGGGTCATGTGAACCACAGACGTCCCCCCGGAGGGGCAGCGTGGCGGGTCGACTGGCACGCGTGCAGGGGTTACCCCGCTCGGATGCGTCGAAGCCCGCTCCCCGACAGAAGGGACCAGGGAAAGCGGAGCGTTCCACGGGGGTCCGTTCTGCCGGGGGTCTGGCGACAGAGGGGGAAGGGATTGGCGTAGCCCGGGGACGACACACGCACCCTTCCGCGCCCTCCGAGACAGAGAGGAATGAACGGGGCGACGCACTGGACGTCGTGCGCGCTCATTCCAGTCTGTGTGCTCAATGACAGTGTCAGCTTTTCCTCAACCAGCTCAGGGAGCTAGCTAGAACAAAGGATTCTCCACCGGCCCTCCACCGGGGAAGGAGGGGCCCTGCCACCGCCTCCTGAGAAAAACCATGACACTATCACTGAGCGGCCCGCCTCAGGAACATCGCTTCGCCTGGCGTTTAGCGGGGCACACGGCCTGAGGGGGGGGGGCGCTTACCTGTGGCCTCCTCCGCGACGCGAACCGGCTGAAGGCTGCTGCTGGGGCCGCGTGGGAGGGAAGGGAGCCGCAGGGGGGCGTCCTCGGCGGCGAGCTGGCGGAGGTGTCCGAGCCGACGGCTGGTTGGAGGCAGCAGCTGGCCGTCGGGGCAGAGAAACCGCCTTCGTCTGCTCCTAGGCGGTCGAGAAGTGCTGGGCAAAGTCCTGGACCGCACCGCCGAACATTATGATGCTCCTGGACCACAGCGGTGGGCATCACCTGACCAAGGGAGCGAGCGACCGCCTCCGTGACCCGTTCAAGGACAAGGTAGGCGGCAGGCTCGCAGCTCGCTTGGTCCGTCACCTCCTCGTGCACATTCCTGAGCAGCTAGCTTTGTAGGTGCTCATCATATGCAGGGCGGAGGCTGCCTGTCCCGCCGCTCTACAGAATCGCGCCGCCATAGACGACGAGAACCCATAGGCTTTGGAGGGGCATCTGAGTGCAACCGCCGGTTGACCGGGGGAGCCCCAGCGTACCCACAGACAGCCGCATCGCCGAGGGGAGGAAGGGCGGGGAACTAAGCACGCCTTTTTTTTTTCTTCTTTTTTATTATTTATTTATTTATTTTTTAGTGCGTGTCAGTTCCGCATGCAACTCGGGGAAAAAAGGAAATTGGGGTTGGCCGTGGCCGTAAGGCGGCAGCGTTACCCAAAAACCAATTATTCAGCCGCGAGAGATCGGGATGGGGCAGAGTTCCACCCCCACCCGATGCTCACGGACGCCCGAGATAGCACGGCCATCATCGCGGGATCAGACACGGCGGCGCT